CTTGTAGCAAAGAGTACAGGCTACAGCGCTTTTGTGGTTAATTTTAGAGAACTGGACTGGATGTGTATTTCTTGTTATAATGCATATACAGGTGCTTTTATTTATTGATTTTGTACAAGTTCTAGCTAGAGTAGTTTAAATGTTTTGTTTTATGATGTCTTTTTTCAGATTAAAAAAAAAAGTATAAGTAGAAATCAGTATAGTATCTGGTTCCAAATCAGTAAAACACTTAGAAATTTGCTCAATGCAAACATATTGGCCTTGATCAGCCTAATATTTGTGTTCAAAACTTAAAAAAATTAGTGAACACAAGATTATCAGGATTCAGATGTTAGAAATAATATAAGAAAGCAGCTAACTAATTAGTATAGATGATAGGATAGGACAACAGTACTTGGTTCAGAAAGGGAGGTTATATCTGTGTCAGCTTCCCAGGATTAAGAAAATTGAACTCCGGGTGTAGGGAGCAGTCCTCCCAGTGACATGCAGATTATTCAGTTTGTTGTCATGTAACATGTATGATTTTCTATATATAAGGCATTTTATATGGTTGKCCACAAAGAGCATAACTCTTGAGAAAGGACAGCTCACCAGGATAAATTGAGTCTCTTGAGACAAGAATGAAATGTGAGACCTGCTTTCCAGCTGATATGATTATGTCCTCTTGTATCAAGAATGGTCCTGCAGTAAAGGAATCCCTCTAAGGATAGAAGGAAGAGAGTGTTGGTAGTGGATGTTTATCTTTCATCCTGTCATAAAATATATGCCTAAACTCTGGCCATTGTGGTACCCCCTTGCTGGATTTAATCTACTTAGGTCAGTGTCTTTCTTGGAGGAGCCTAAAACAAGAGCGGCACATGCCATCTCTGAAGTGCTAAATAGAATCAGTTCTGTGAATTGACTGACTCTTGCCAGCCAGCATGTCATAGCCTTCACCACAAAGGCATGTCACTGCTAATGTTTGACATTATTGGTCCAAAGGACATAATTTTTTTTCTACAAAGCTGCTCTTGAGCAAATTAGTCTTCTAGCATGTCCTCTTTCAAGAAGTTATTCTAATAACTTTGCCTTAAGTGAACTTCATAAAGTTCCCATCAGCCTTTTTTTTTTTCCTTCCTMTGAAATCTCTGTGAAAGGTGTTCCAGCCCTCTACTTAGCCCTCAGTTGCTTCCCTCAGTGTTGCATCATTTGTGAACTTGCTGTGAGGCACTCTAGCACATCTTTGAGGTTGTTAATAAAGATAGTAAACAGTATTGGCTTTGTAATGTATCCCTGAGGAATGCTTATAATTGCTAGTTCCCAATTGTACTCCACATGACAGATCATCACCCCTTCAACCTAACAGTCCAGCCAATTTTCYGGACACCTTATCCAATTTTCAATTCAGATCTCAACTCTTTAGCAATAAGGAGATGAGAGACCATCTCAAATACCTTGCCAAATTCAAGGTATATGCTCTTRCCTGCTTTTCCTTTTCTCTTACAGATGCAGTGAGGTTTAGTAAAGGTAGGTTTTTCCTTAGTAAGTCTATGCTAGTTGTGTTTGATCACTTTGTCTGTTAGGTGACTGGACATCATTTCCAGGATGATTTGTTCTGTAACTTTGCTAGGCAAAGAGGGAAGGCTTGTATTTGGTTTATGTGATTATTTTTGTTTGTTTAAATTATTTTAAATACTRTCAGAAGAGAGTGGACCAAGTCAATGGGCCATGGGATAGTCTCTTTCCAGAAAGGAAACTGCATAAAAATGAAGCAACTGGTCAAAAAAATCTCCAACCCCTAATACTAGAACAAGCAGTACAGAAATGTTTGGAGACTGTTAAGAATGGTATTGTAGCTGAAACCCACCTGAAATATGTGCTATGATTTTAAAAACAAAAAAAAA